GTGTGTGTGTGTGTGTGTGTGTGTGTGTGTGTGTGTGTGTGTGTGTGTCAGTCAGAGGATAAGTGAGGAGTCTCTTCTCACCTCCCACCCGGCTTGAGGCAGGAACTCTCTTGTCTCTGCTGCTGTGCTATGCGTTTGAGCATGCAGGTGAATCTCCTGCCTCTGTCTCCCATCTCAGTGCACAGGAATGGCAGACTCCCGCACTCCACTGCCTTACACTGGTGCTGAGGTCTGAATTCAGGTCATCAGGCCTGCATGGCAAGTGCTCTAACCCACTGAAGCATCTTCTCAGCCTCACACAAAGTTTTATCAGATGATTTACTTCTTTGAAAAAGATTCCAGACATAAAATTGCTGAATGAAAAGATATACTTTCTGGAGGGAAGGGGTCGGGTCAGTATCTCACTCCGTGGACCAGACTGGCCTGGCACTCACCGGGTGGCATAGGCTGGCAGCCCAGCTGCCTCAGTCCCATGAACACTGGGATTGCAGAAGTATACTATTACCGCACCAGCTTTACGTCTTAATGTCTTAATGATGACATACTAACCTGCTCCTGCCAATCTCCTCCCACCTCACAAAACGGGTTATCAATGAACTGAAAAGTCAGCTAAACTTTGTAGTAACGGGGCCCTGCCTTTCACGAGCTTAATGGCAAGACAAAAGGACTTGACTCCCTGAATCCCTGTGAGGATCGAGTGGTCACTGGCTAGCATAGCATGCAGCACCCTGCTTGACAGGCTGCTCTCAATGAAAGTTACACCTGCAACCTTAAACAGAACAACCACAAAGTGCTGGCACACTCTTACAGGAGTGCCAGCCTATGAATTATAGTATGTCTTAACTTAACGTCTTTCTTCAAGATTAACACCCTGCATAGAATTAGAAATATTCGTAAACGCAGTGAGCCACTGGGAGGACATCATTTTATTCTGACGCTAGCTTTTATTTTCTTTCTGACAGCAGCGAACAGAAGCAAACCTTCCAAAACCGTGAAAGCAGAGCGCCGGCAAGTTAGCGCCCAGGTGTGTCCTGCTCCCCAGGCAGCAAGGTCCAGTTAGAACAGTTAGGCAGCGAGGAAGGAGTCAAAAGAGGCTTACCCTGGAGACACCCAGAGTTGAAACCTTAGGAAACAAAACAATGGCAACTTCCTTAAAGCATCCTGGAAAAAAACAGGGTGGCAGCAGCTCCCGCCTCCCTTTGACGTGGACAAACAGGGCGACTGCCCGCGCTGGCGCACAGTGCTACATGCACATGCCCGTGGACAGACAGATGGACAGAAAGACAGACAAGAGGCGGAAGACTCGCTGGCAGACAGCCGCCCACACCTACGGTGCAAGGCCCCGCCAGGCCTGGGGACCACTGTGCGGTGCTGGCCCTGGAGGGGCTCCCGCCGGCCCGGACCCCAGGACCCACCAGCCTCTGCTTGGGGTCTCTGCGAACCTCATCACCCCGTCACCCAGCACCCCGTGCGCGCGCCGGGACGGCCCCGCCAGGCGCGCGACACACCGGGAGCCCGGATGCCGCCGCCACGGACGCGAAGGCCCGCGCTCCCTGACTGCGAACGCGGGAGACGCCCACGCCCCGGGTCCCGGTCGGGCCCCGCAGACACCCACCGAGCTCCTCGCATCCCGCCGCCTCCGCCGGCGCCGGCGCTTCCATCCCTCGGGGGTCTCCAGGTCGCCGCCGCCCGCTCCTCCGCCCGCACCGCCGAGCATGCGCAGAGCCGCCCCGAGGGGCGGGGCCGAGACGGCCTTGACCGTAGCCCACGCGGGTCTCCGCCTCGCGCGGTGACAGGCGTGGCTCCAGGAGGCTGAGGACCGATTGTCTGAACCCCGGGGCCTCGCGTGCGGGAAGACAGGGCCTCGGACTGAGCAGAAAGCAGGCAGCCTGCAGTTTCGACGGCCAGCTGGCAGTCGTCCTGCCCCCCAGTACGCTCGCAAAGGCAGCTGGATGGAGTCTGGGGCGCCGTCATTTTAAAGACAGCTGGCGCTAGGGTTAAGGCTAACAGGGAGGTGTCCACATCGTCAAGCACTACACTGCAGTGCTGTGTAGTTCTTGGAGTACCAGAGAGAGAGGGCGCAATGCAGGAGGTAACCCACGATGCCCACTGTCCACGCAGAGGGAAAGTCACTTCAGAACTACTGACAGTAAGCCAGTGAAGGCGGGGGAGGGATCTGCCACTGCAGCGGGAGCTCAGCCTGCATGCAAAGCTGGCTGGGAAATGTATGCTGGAGCCACAGGAAAAAAGCACACTGCTGATTAGAAAGACAAATATTTAATTCTAAATAAAACTGTGTGGTGGCTTACGTGGGTATCGCAACACTGAGAGGAAGAGGCAGGCAGGTTTCTGTGAGTTCAAGGCCAGGCTCTGCTACATAAAGTTCCAGGACGCCCAGGGCTGTATACACAGACCCTGTCTTACATAAAATTAAAATTTAAAAGACTACCATGGTAACACATGCCTGTAATCCCAGCAGTTGGCAGGCTAAGCATGGAAGGTTAGGACTTTGAGCATATTCTTGCCTTCCTATGGATTTCCAGGCCAACCTGAGCTGCATGAGTTTCTGTCTTTAATATATATTAAGTAAGTAAACAAATACTTTAGAAATTATGTTTTTCACATCATAGTTATTTAATGTCAGGATGTGTATTTTAGTGGGAACTATGTAGTCTGGTTTCAGGCCACTGATAAAATCACAGTATGTTAGCCATTCAGACGTCCCAGATCAGGAAAGAACCAATTCCGTAGGGAGAATTTTGATTGCTTTAAAAAACATAGAAATATTCTGGAAATATGTCTTTATCTTAATCCCCAATATGCAGATATGGGGTTGCTCCACAGCAGCTGACTATAATTTGCCTCGTGCTCTAGCAGAGGTGTGGTTTTGCCAGCTGCAGATAGTTTCTGCCATTGTGTGACTTTGGGAATTCTGGGGACTTTTTAGAGGGTCTAGAAATGCCAGGACACCAAGAGGCATGGTGGTTTGTTGGTTGGTTGGTTGTTGGTGGCTGGTTGGTGGTTGCTGTTGTCCATGGTTTCTTTAGTAGTTGTATGAAAAGAAGAAACAACAAGACAAAATTAGATATCCTGACAGCAAAAATTAAACTTGCCCCGAGGAACTTGATGCCACTAATCAGCAGGATGATAACATTGATCCCTTTCTGACCCCTGACTTTATTCGGGGATCTATTTTCTTTCTTCTCTATCCTTTTTTTTCTCTTTTCTAGTGTTAGGGGGTTGAAAGGGAAGAAGAAAAGAGTGGAGAAGAGTGGAAGAAGAACCCACAAAGTAGCAAAATCCGGCTAGACAGTTCCTCTCAGACTCACATCTTTCCTCCTCTTGAAAAACCTCAAGGTTTTCACCATATAACTAGGCACAGTAAAGCTTTTCCTCAAACCCAATTTTTCCCTGAAATCACATACCCATCACAGGGAAATTCCTGTTCCTCACAAATATCACAAATGTAGCAGAGATGCTGAGCTACTGTGGACTCTGGCCCCTAACTAAAGTTGGCTGGGTGCCTGGGCTGGAGGGCAGCAAAGAGCTGCATCAGAAGTGATAGCCCAGGTTTATCGCTAAGTGTTAAAAACATCAAAACCATTGTCTCTTAATCACAGTGAGCACAGGGAAAACAAGCTGACTGGCCTTCGAGGCCTAGTTAAGAGAGACTTCAACGCAGGGATAAACTAATGATAACAAATCAAGGTAACCATGCTTTCCTTGGTCAATGCCTGAAAATATATTTCCTTATGTTACTCCTGCCCCAGATCTCATGAATTGGGAGAGGCAGTAGTCTCCACGTCCCAAGACATACAGAAGGCCTGCAACTCTGGGTGAAATAAGTAGTGAAGTCTATGCAAGCAAACATAAGACAGGCTTCAACTGAAAAGACAAAAGATGTGTGAGATCAGCACCGGGACACTGGGCTTCTTCCTAAAGGTCACTAGGATGCAAACTCTGTGGTAAAAATGGTAGTAGGTAAGGTAAACTAAGGCACTGAGTGAGTGTTGGGCAGGTGGTGGTATGGACAGCGTGGGCACAGAAGAAGTGATTCACAAGCGGGGCAGAGGAGGGCCAGTGTCAGACAGCATTCAGTGTGGCCTGTAATTTTCATTTGTGACTTCTTTATTTCTAAGATCTTCCATTTTCTATTTCAGACCGCAGTTGACAGGGAGTAAGCTCAGCCTTGGGAACTGAAACCACCTATAAGAGAATACACACATACACATATGAACGGCTACCACTCTTGTTCCTGAAGGTGTAGAGTTGTCACTGCCTGAGTCCACAAGGAACTGAAGGTGCCTTATCTCATTAACCCAAGGTATCAGGGTACACTTGTGATGTGACTGGAAGCCTGCTCTGTAACTTCCATGGCCCTTCTGGTTCCCATCATGTCATTATGGATTATAATGCTTCGTGAGCAACCTGAGCACAGGGCAAGACATGCTGGCCACACCTTTAATCCCAGCCCTTTAATCCACCCCAGGGAGGCAGGGGTGGATCTCTGAGTTCAAAGGCAGCATATCAAACCATTTGATATGGTGTGCATATCAAATTCTAGTACAGCCAAAGTTACATAGTGAGACCCTGCCTCAAGGAAGGAAGAAAGGAAGAGAACAAAAGAAGGAAAAAAGGAAGGCAGGAAAGAAAGAAGAAAGGAACTCAAGCACTTCTGAAGAACCCGAGTATCTCATACAGTCTTCTTCTGCATCTTAGGACACTAGGAAAGTTCAAGCAGTGGGTGTGGTGACACAGATGTGCTATCACAGCACTTGAGCGCTTGGAGGAGGATCATGAATTGAAAGACGGTCTGAGGAGTATAGCAAGCCAGACAGAGTGGGGAAGAGGTGGGGTACAGCATTTGCCTGCTAGACACAAGCCTGGGACCCTCTCCCAAGTACCACAGGAAATTTTACAGAAGAGAGCAGAGGAAAATGCTTTAGACTAAGCAGCTCAGCCCAGGTCTCACACCTGGAAACCGAATGCAGCCACGCCTCTAGAAAGATGTTCACATTCCACCTCACAGCTCCTCAATATCCTGAGCTGCCAGGTGGGTGCCGTCCACACTGCCCCTCACTATACACTATGTGACCTTGTCCTCATGCGGCCAGTGGACGGTTAGGAGGGTCACTATGCAGTCAGGTGACTAACTCCGCTGAGAGTGCCACTGCTAACATATTAACACACTATTCGGCTTAAGAAAATATAGCTGTTCGGAGAACAACAGACTACAAAATGACCCGTGGTAAGAGCTGGAAAGCACACAAATGACCCAAACAGCTCAGGTTTTTAATAAATATGTGGATTCAAAGACTCAGGTGAGAGAGAACATGCTCTCAAAGTTTTTCCATTCCACTGTAAGCATTATATCTAAGTTAAACGAGGAGGACATTATTTCGCTTGCTCTGTCTTCAAATCAAACTGCTGTCCTGCTGAGCACGGAAGCCTGGGATTCCTCTAGACACTCAGATCCTCCTGTGTAAATTTAACTCTCTGTTTAGGGATTTTAACATCAAGCTCTGGCTTGGGATTTAATTTCACAGGCTGCGCCTGTCAGCTTGTATGTAGCCTGCTTTCATCACAGTTCAAAGGGAGTAAGTGAAAGACTTCTGGTAAGTAGGTCACTGGAGAGCCATGTAATAGCAAGGAAGCCTGGAATTCCTGCATCTGAAGCTCTCTCATGCCGATCTGAGGTGAATGCTCACAACTTTGTAACACTGTTGGAAATATCAGCTCCACTGAGAACTTCCACTGAGTGAAGTTGACCTGGGATACACAGGTCCCTAGTGGTCCAGTCTAGAGAAAATGGGCAGGAACATCCAGCCTCTGGCAGCACAGACGTTAGAAGGAAGAAGATCCACTCAGACAGTCACGTCCTGGTCCATGCAGCTCACACCACCAGAAGTTTCTGGGACTTGGAGAAAGGCTCTTTAAAAAGAGGTGGCAAGCTGGGCATGGTGGTGTGTGACTGTAATCCCAGCACGCAGGGAGGCAGAAACAGAGACAGACGGATCTCTGTGATGTCGAGGCCAGCCTGGTCTACAAAGCAAGTCCAGGACAACCAAGGCTACACAAAGAAACCCTGTTGAAAGAAAGAGAGGGGGGGACGGGAGGGAGGGAGGAAAAAGAAAAGAAAAGAAAAGAAGAGAAAAGAAAAGAAAAGAAAAAAGAAAAGAAAAGAAAAGAAAAGAAAAGAAAAGAAAAGAAAGGTAACATTTAAAATAAGGGTGGGGGCAGGGTAGACCCTACCCTGTTTCCCCTACAGCCTGGCTGTTTATTGACTGCTTTCCTGCCAATCTTGTTTGTAGTGATTGTAGTTCATTATCTCCTGCATCCAATATTTACAGGAGAACTACCTGTTCTCAGAAGACCCTAGGAGTGACTTCCTAACTGAGATGCCCTCTTTTACATGAGTCTACTGAGCGGGGAGTCACCAACTCAATCTCCCAGCTTTCTTCAGCCATTTGAGAAAAAGCAAAACAAAACAAAAAACAAACAAACAAACAAAAAACCCAGAATATTCAGTGTGTCTCTGTGATTTCTCCGTGTGTCTCTGTGATTTCAGTG